AATAGATTCAAAATTTCAAGTCACCTCTTTGTATGAGCCTCACTGAAGACCTTCTCTTTTACCAAAGGTTTGGTCTTGTAAAACAAGTAATTTTACCTTACCATGAAAGTTTGGCTCAAATAGTGACTAACACCTGTATGTATGAATTCTTGTGAATTCTCCCCTACATGCTCCAATACTCCTCAAGGCAGTTTCAGTTCTATCTGTACCATAACCCACATACCTACTTGGAAACAGGAGGATAAGAACAGAATCAGTCCAGCAAACTACTACAGCATATGAAAAAGACCAAGTTGGCTTTCAGAATCTTCACCTAAGCTGCAAGGCTGGCATTGTCCTTGCCACACAGATCACAAACTCAGCCAAAATGCAGCTGGGAACATTTCTGTATGAAAACTCAGATTTCTTCTCGGTGTAGTATTTGCTGAAAAAGGGAAAAAACTCAGGAGGTATGAATGCCTCATCCTTAGCCAGAGAGATATGGCTAAAAATTCTTTCTAGATCTTTCTTGCACTGCAGAAGTGGCTAGAATGATCCAAGACCTTTATTCAGCTCCTCACACATGGTGGACAATTATTTTAAGGGACTAGTCTTTACTACTTTGATATGCTGTAGGAAGGAGAAATCCAAGTGACTAAATACACACATCTTTGCTAAAAGCACTGAAGCAGGTTTCTCAGGGAGGCTGTGAATGTCCCCTGCCTGGAAGTGTTCTAGGACAGTCTGGATGGAACTTTGAACAATCTGGTTTTGTAGGAAGCATCTCTGCCCATAGCAGGGGAGTGGAACTAGATGATCTTTAAGCTCCCTTCCAATCAAACCATTCTATGATCTAAATGACTTAAACTGAGACTGGGAAATGATAGAATTGTTTCTCCCCCCACCAGTGCTCTCCTACTTCCAAGCACTAACTACATCTTGTTAGGACAAAGACTTCAAATATTCACTAACAACACATTAGTTCTCCATTCAACAAAGAAAACAACTAACAACTTGGCTGAGAAGGTTATAACTTTCTATGGGACCAATAATGCCATAAGCTATGGAAACATCAGTATGTTTCCAATAGTTATTCATTACTACAGCATTGAAAAAGGCATAATGCATTGTATAACTGTTTTCCATACAGCAGCAAAACCACACTTGATTTCTTCACACATTCAGAAATGTTTCAGGGCTACTGAACAGTTTCTTCACAATATTGTAGCTCTTCAAATGCTTTTTTCTTCTAAAATTGCTATATAACATCCTTACAATTAATTAATATGTATTTTTTAATGTAAGTCAGAGTCCCCTAAAATACAGAACTCATACCACCAGTGGAATAAAGATCACATCAAGATGGTAGTATGCCATACGTTTTTCACTCTGCTTTTGCACAAGTGTCTGACATGACAGCAGAAGCCCCCCAGACTACGAGGCTTACAATGAAAGCAGAAGCTCCGAGAACACAGCACATGATGACTTCAGATGATGCATTGTATAAATACGAATAAAAAATAGTCTGTTACTCATGTAGCCTTTACAGATGGCTAGAATCAGTCTTTGATTATAACAAATACAAGAAAGTTCGCAGGTCAAATATTCCATATATGGCCAAAACAGAGGCAATAATAAGAAAATATAAAAGGATAATTGCTTCTAAGAGAAAATAAATAAAAAATTGCTCCAGCATGGCCATCCCTATTCAAGTACACCACACCAGATCAGCCTATGCATCTACCCAAGTCCTCCTTCAGCTTCAGTGGAGAAAAAGAGGTGTGTTTTAGTTTGTCACTAATCATACTTCACCAACGCAACTCAAAAATCATACACAAGGCATTTTATTTTGCAGTCTAACTGGATGAAAGAACAGCACGTGTATGGGTACGTGATTTCTGCTCCAGCCTTCTGATACAGTAAGACTAGTAACCACAGCACTGAGTACAAAAATCTCAGAGACAGGAACAGGCTGAGTATAATACATAGTGTTTTCTGTTTGGAGATATTATTTTGACTGATTATGTATGTGAATAAGAGTCCACAACACTGAGTAGCACTGTCCATCTGTATTGGCATGTATGCTTTGTTCAGATCATTGGTAAAGCTAGAAATAAAAGTAACCATGTCAGGCAGCTTCCAAAAACTAGCTTTTAAGAACAGTGTTTTGATTCAGTCTTTTCAAAGAAATAAGCTAGACTTTCAAATCTAGTTTATGTTAATTTCAGAGTCTTTGACTGTGTGTACTTTTTTAAACTCTCAGCAGCAGAGCTGACAAGTTTCCCCCCCACACCTTCCTGATTTTCCTTCTTGTAAGCAATTCTTTTTTTGGTTAGGTTGTTTAAAATGCAATCTTGGCAATGAGATATTGCCAGAGGCTTTGGACTGATGCCTTCTGAAGCTTCCACTTTTCCCAACTTTTACTAGCAATAAAGAATTTGTTTTTAGAAACATGTAATTTTAATTATAAAATTACCCCCAAAACAAATGGAATTTAATTGGTTACAAAGTAATATTTTACATAATTATGTGATTGTTTGGGGGATTTAAAGCATAATTTATTAGTTCTGGATAAGGTGCACATTTTGATTCCTACAGGCAAATAACAAACTGATTAGTAAGTGTAATAAAACAATTTATTTTTCTGACAATTGGCAACTAGAAGTATAGTAACTTACTTGATCAATTGCCATTTTAAAGAACATTAAAGCTTCTCATAATTATCCTACCTATATGGTATGTAGATGAACAATACACCATCACCTCTATTACAGTAGTGATTTAATAGGATGTTTCTGACAGGTTTTGTACCTTTCCACATAATGCAAAAGGAAGTAATTACTCTTTGTACTGAAAGTTTGCAGAATCTACTCCTTTTTAAATATGCAAAGAATTTGACTATAGGAAGAATTGAAGATGAAAGGTTATTTTTTCTGATATTCAAAATAATGTATGTCAGTTTCAGGAAAGTGTCTTAGCTCTCCAGTGATTTATTTCTTCAGAATTCAGCAGTTGTCAAGTGAAGATAGACACCTCTCCCTGGCAGGAAACTTTTCCAACTTATTACATGAAGTGAAGTTCTTCTTATGTTCCTTAATTAATTTAGTTTGTCAGGTAACTTCAATAGCTAACAGCTTTTGGAGACCAGCTCTCTGACGATCTAGCCTCAATGAATTCAGTGGATCTATGCCAACACAGGAAGCCACGACAGAGCAAATAAATACCATACACATTTCAAGACAGACATTATACAATGGAAAAGACTAGGACAAATGTGTAAGATGACCTTTTTAAGATCAAATGATATTTCTGTGATCAAGGTAAAGAAAAATTTACCAGTCACAAGTTCAGATGAACTAGGGTATACTGCCTTGAGAAGGCGAATGGAGACTTTGTTCCCTACTGTTTTAATGAAAATGTCATACATTCAATTAAAAAGAAAACCAGGGAAAAAATATTACATTAGAATCACACAAGTTTTGAGTAAAAGTGAACAAGTTATAGAACTTAAACATGAAGACAAATGAGATATATCATAACATGGAGAGACACGTAAACACAAACATATTCAGAAAACAGTTACTCTCATTTCAACTCAATATCAGTACAATTAACCCTTTTCTACTACTCTCAAAAAACCTCATTTAAAACAGATTTACAAGGCAGATCTAGTTTAAATTCTTTGGCAGAGAATCAATTCTGGAAAGCTATTTTGTGCTCTACAAGAAAGGTCAAAAACCTTGTTAAAATTCTAACAGAATTTAAGTTGTAATGACTAGAAACTTACATTCTGTATCACTTAAGAACTACAGAACAGAGTTTCTATTTCAATGCCATTTCTCATTAAGCCAATCTACAAAAGTAAAGGCCTACTAGCAAGAAGCTAAATATACACATGTTCCTAACAATGTTCTGTGAGACCTTACATAGTTTAACTTTCATAATAAATATTTTAACAAGTTGTACATTTCCATTCTGTACTATGAGCTTTCAAAAAAAAGGCAAAGGAGCACTAAGGATATATTACAATGCATTCTTTGGACTCTCTATTCCACTGTCAAAGTCATGAAACATCTGTTCATCAGCCTTTTACCTCATTTCCTGAAAAAGAAACTGTGATAGGTTTTCCTAGGTTTCTAATACTCAACCAACCTGCTGTCACTACTGACTTCTACCTCAAATCACCTCCTATCTTAAACATTCTACTGTTTCATTAATGGAGAACTGAAGTACAAGGTAAAGATAGCAAATTGTACAAACAAGCCAGTGGACAAGTCATGATTACTTATATCTCTGTCTTAGCCAGTTTACCCACCAGTCCCTCTTGTTGCTAGTGTATGACGTTAATAACTCTACCATTCTACTTGCACAATACAACTTCTACCAATTATTCACCTTCACCTATCACTTTATCAAAAATCTTTCTGGTTCCTGTGAATATTCCCAGTCCTCAGATGCAGTGATGACCAGGAGGACCTGCAACCTGTGATTGGAGGCTTCCTGCTTCCCCTTTTTCCCAATAGTTCATAATGCTTACAGATTCTAGAAAAAAATAGCATTAATGTAGAGATAGTTCTCTTGCCACTTTGTCAGAACTGCATAAAATTTGGAGATGAAAACAAAAAATTGGTGAGTCAAGCAATGCAGTACTATCTTTGGCTATTATTAGTAATCACTAACTGATCTACTCTATCACTGGGTGAAAATTCTGCATGGAAAAAAAGGTAAACTATCATTTATGCAATCTACATTTCAACTAACACACTTCCAATTAATTCAATCTCTTACTGATAGTTTCTATGGCAATAATTATTCCCCATAGCAAATAACACCTGTGGCATTAAAAGTGTCTCTCTCTCCTATCTGACTTCTGCATAACAGGGATTCTGCAACTTTCCAACAAAAAAATCAACATAATACATTAATAAAATTGCTAGAAAAAAATTCTTATTTGTCAATCATGATTTTACACTGTATGGTATAAAGAAAATTGCAGAGTTGCATTGCTGTACAGTACATACCCCATGTTCTTTAGCAGCCATAACCACTTTTGAAAGGATATCTTCTTCAACAAATGGCCTCACAGCATCATGGATAATCACTATTTCTGGTTTCTGGAGCAGATAGTTGGAAAATTGATTCTCTGCAAACACTTTCAGTCCATTGAAAATTGACCGGTGACGAGTTATTCCACCTTTTACTATCATAACTCTTTTGTGGCCGTATTTTTCAATGATAGACTTCATTGTTTCAATATTTTCAGGAGAGACCACCACAATTATGTTGGATATCCATCCTATCCTAGAAGAAACAGTACAAAACCAGAGAAAGCAGACATCAATGGCAAAATGAAATTACAGATGTATCCATGAATCAGACATTAATATCAAAAGGAATTCAAGATGGCTAAATAAAGCATCTCTCAATATACTCAAGCCAATGTTTTCATGTGTGTATTAGCACTCCACCACCAAAAGGAGAGCTACATGAGAGGATCTCAATCAGTACACCAATGTCAACCAAAATAACTGGAATTCTGGGAAAGGATTTGCTTTGGACCTGTAAGAACCATTTTGGAGACATGAAAAAAGCCAAACAAAGCAAACCAGCACTTTCTGATAACCATCCAAAACACTTCCCACTCCAACCTTACTCCGACCTTCAAACAAATTCTAAACCAATCACCTACAATCTGTTATTTTAGCCTTCTCTAAAGTCAGTCTCCAATAAATGGGTAAATGCTGGCACCTGGAATACTCCATGTTCTCCTGCGCAGTACACCTCATACAAGTGAGTAAGATCAAGAAAAACTCTGAAACAAAGATCACTATCTAGACAGGCATGAGAAGTAATTGACAGATTGCTCATGAATCAAAACTGTGACACTAATATTGACAGGAAACATATGAAGTGTTTGCAAATAATTTTATATAGACATTCAAAGGTTTCTACTCTAGAAATTAGGAATATGTAAAAACATAGCTACACTATGTAAAATTATCATAATATGAAAGCATATCTTTGGAGCACTTGAAGCTTCTACTGTTGGTATTAGCCCAGCTCTTGTTGGGGCAGAATGATCAACAATCCACGAGATGAAAACCAATAATAAAGTTAGGCTGACGTCATACTTGTGTCAAAGGACCTAGGAGTACAAATCACAGTCATATATGGCTTACTGTACTTCAAAATAACAGAAATACCATCATTCAAATCCAGCTATTAGTGTATCTTATTTCCTATATGATATGTAGAGACCATAATAAAAGGATTCAGAATGGTTTTGTTTCCGTTCTGTCTCTCCACAGATGACAGGAGGAATTTTTAGCATGATAGACAAGAAACTCCTCAGGTAAGAAATTATTACAAAAACTATTTACCGTAGCAAAATTACTCATGTGTAGCCTACACATCCAACTAGGGAGGGAGACAAGTATGGTATGGTATGTTCTATCAATTAAAACTAGTAAGGCAATGGAAATTAAATTTGCAGACACAAGAGGGACTAAGGTACTAATACGTTCAGTTAGAAAAATAAGAGTAAGAAATTTACAGTTCAGAAATACACAGGTTCAACCTATCGCAATCTGCAGTAACACACGAGAAGGCATTGCCTAGGAACTATCCTTATTGCAGAAGCAAAGTCCTCTGTCATACAAACCACTCCCCAGAACTATGTGAAACAACAAAGCATCTTCCACCTCCTGTAAGTGTTTTTTTGTAATTAATAGAACTCCATGGAAAATTATGTTAATTAATTTTAAAATAATTATTAAAAGTAAAATAAATGGAAGCACTATTAGATTCCTAAAAAAACCAAGTTTGTTCTTATGTTCATTTTATTATTAACAAAGGCAGAAAATACAGCCAAACCAACACATCCTCAGGATTTTTTTAAGTATCGAAACTGTTCAGATGTAAAATCTGAAGTCACATGGTTTCAAGTTTCATTTCAAGTTGTCACTCACCACAGGTTCATCAAAAGGTTTTCAAACCTCTCAAATGAGTCCTATCATAGTTTTACATTTAGCCACAAAACTTAGTACCTCTGCATGACTTCAACTAAGAACTAGGGCAAACTAACTGGATTAATCACTGTTCTTCTTTTGCATTGGTCATTTAAATAATGCAAAATTCAAGAGCTGTTTCACTCTAAACAAGAATAAGAACCCTGCACTTAGTATTTGCAGAAAGACTATAGCCTTGCATAGTTCCCGAAAACAGTGGACACTGCACATTCACGAGTGGCTGAGTAAGAATACTGACATATCCCATTCTGTAGTAAAGTGAAAGAGATTACGAAGCAGCTGGGTAATACACAGCACCTTCTGAGAAGAAGGGACGAGAAGTACTGGCCAGCCTATGATAAATCTCTGCACGGGGCTGGGGGATGTAATGGCTCAAGGCCTCCAGTGGTACAGTACACCAAAAAGTGACAGGATGCGGACACAGCTCCACCCTGTGTCTGGATAAACACATTTATAAACTGGACTATGTCCTCCTTAATGTCATTCTGGACTAATGTTTTATCATTAGAACTGGGATGTAAAGATGTAACCTGTTCCTAGAAGAGTATAAAGATTGATTAGGTACAAGAACAGCTCAGGCTTTGAAGCCTAACATTTCCTATCAAAACTGATTTATAAAACTCATGCAAATTCAGTACTCATACTCAATTCAGTAAAGTATGCTACAAATTCTCACTAATGAGAACTGTGCATCACACAGGTGCTTACTCTTTTAAAAATCTGCTTATCAAAATGTTGCAAAGTGCTTTAATAAAGTAGAAGGATTAACAGTACACACTCAGTCTGGCAGTAAACAGATTTTTTTTTCCTTTCTCAATTTGTCACATCTTCAGAAAGATTTCACACTAAAAATAATAAGCAGTACATGGCCTGCTCAAAACCACTTAAAAAATGGTAAACACTGCTTCCACTTTATGACTGTAATTTTAGATCAAGCTCTAGAAAGCATCAGCAGAAGGCATGAAAAAGATCAGAATGCTGTACACCAACATGCTTTAACGAGCACTAAACACAGAACTCTAGTGCTTTCATACAACATCGGCTGTAGTTCCAAGGAGGAAAATCAGGTCTGATCAAATTAAACAAAAGTAACAATCTTGGTTATAATCACTTTACAACTGCTTTGGGAGGATGTCAATATTAGTAGAAGGGAAACAAGAGGCAGAAAAGGACTATATGTTTGTGTCTTGCAACCATCCTTCTCATCATCACCTGCGGGCAGACAGATCAGCTGCCTAGTAGAACACAGTATTGTTTCATTATGTTACAAACAAAAGCAGATACATGTATATTAGCTGAGCATAAACTTAAAGTACAGGAGCTTGTCAACTCAGCAACATATTAAACTATTACATGACTTTGAAACAGAGATTCCAGAAGAAATGAAATAAACCATGAGTTATGCACTGAGACTGTATCACCTAAATGGCATGCTCAAGTACAAATGTGACTGAGGTTTAATGCTCTATTAGTTCAGTCACATACAAGTCACTGTTGAGCCTTAAATCTGATATAAAGCCTAAATACCTGCACTCAGTTTTTTGCAGCTCCTACCTATTTAACATAGAGCCTAATAAAATAAGCAGTCGTATGAGCAAAACAAGGCCAGAACCAGGCAGTCACATCTGTGATGGCTTCAGTAGTGTAATAGACGATCTTTTAGTGACACAGAAACTCTTTAAGGGTAAAAATCCATTACAAATATAAATAAATCCATTATATTGCTTTTGCTGATACTGTTATTCAAGCATCAAATGAGAAAAAGAACTGTCAAGAACAAAATGTACTTGTAGCATGTAAGCATAACTTCCTTCTGCTCGCTAACAGCTTTATGACTTTATTGATACATGAAAAAACACATTAATACCTATCTAATTTTTACAGTACAGAAATAATTTCTTTTTTTCCTGAAAGACAATGTTCATTATTAGTCAGGAAAAATAACAAAGATATCTCCATAAAGTTAAAACAATTTGATTGTTTCCTACAATAATTTTTAGGTTGTCAGCAATTTCAAGAATAAGCTAATGATAACTGTACAAAAAAACCCTATCACAACAGCTAAACTGTATTTGTGTGACCCATAGAGGCAGTGAACACACATCAGCCAACAGGGAAAAACACTTGGCAAATAAACTAAACACAACTCTTCCAAAGAGGCAATTATTTAGATGCTTCCCCAGGTGATGCTTTTCTGGTATCAGGCCACCTGTTTTAAGAGACTACAGCAAACAAAGTAAACAAAGCTGTCTGAAGCCTTTATGGAAAAAAATTATTTTGCCAGTAAACCCCCTAACTCTGCTTTCCTCTTTTATAACTTGTCACTGCATTTTCAACAACTGCTGAAATATGAGCATAGTAAGAATAGCAGCAGCTTATTTGTCCCACAATTATTTTAAAATCAACCTTTACCTTAGTCTGTTTTCCTCTCTATAGCTTTAGTAAAATATGTGTGCACATGTGCACACAGAGCTGAGGTTCCTCCCTGTCTCAGAAAGGAATTGGAAAGGTTCTAGTCTAAACAAACATACACATTAACTTAATGCAAAAGCCTTACGCAGTTAACAAAAGCAGAAATAAATCCAATCAGAAAACAGACATGTAAGTTCTCTAACACACTTTAATTTTACCCCCAAGGTAGGACCTGACCTTCCTATCAGTGCCACTCTACTGGTGATAAAACCCAATTATTTCTCCTCACTCTATGTGTTCTCACCTCCTCTTCCTAAGGGCATTATCTTTTATTATTATTGGCAGGCCAACATTCTACACGCTGTCATCCTATGCAACAGGATGCACTACTTATTCATTCATGTCTGCACTTGTCTGCCAGTTTTTCCACGATAATAGTTAAGATTCTCTTACTACTTTCAGCTGAACAGTGTAAAAAATCTTTTTATCATGAGTCTTAAAAAACACATGCGAAGCAGCTGAAGATTCTTTATTTGCTCACGTATTTCTGTCTATATGTTGCTACACTTTTTCCAGATTAAAGAAATGTGAAAAAATAGCTGCAGTAGCTGAGGTAACAGTTCAAATAGAAGTTACTACAGGCGAATGAGTCAATAATTCAGTCAATTACAACAGGCAAACAACAGACTTCACAAGACAGTATCAAGCTGATCACTGAAGATCTGCCACTTTTGGGTGATAGATTACGCGACAAACTACAGCTCCTCAGCATCGCACTTTTGCACGCACATTCGCACAAAGCAAGAACAAGGTACCCCCTTTGCAGTTTCAGAAGATTAACATTAAAGCCACCC